ATATGTATGTATATATAAATATTATATATATATATATGTATGTATATATATATACCTATCTCAGGTACATGCACCTGCATTTTTCTCTTTTGTCCTGGGTTACCACTATCATATTGCTATCAAACATACAGCAGTTTGATATATCGGCCTCATACCTCACCCTCTCTATTTCTGTACTAGTCCCAATACTGATACACTTCTATATCATATGTTCTTCTCAGGTCCCCCCTCTGATGCCAGGGCAAGAATGTGATCTGGTGATTCCACTCATGTCGCCGTCTGAGCCTGGTTCGTTTGCCGCCGCCTATCGTCTATGTAGTAGAGAAGGTATACGTTCGTTACGACTGCGTACAACATGTCGGTTGTGTTTTGTGATCACGTATCTGTTTCACACCATGTGTATAGCATGTATGCAGGAGAGTTTAGTTGTCTTATCCTATGCGTTGCTTTAAGTGCGTGTTTCAAACGTGCTGTTTGCATGGAAGTGAAGTTTAGTTTGTGCCGCTGAATGTGTGCAGTGCATACTGTGCGACGTATTTGCATCTTTCATATTTTTATACTCAGTTGTCAATCTAACTTTCATAGTAAAGTTCTATTGGAATACACCGTTACAATAATTCTGCATTCGTACCTTGTTTTTCCCATACAGTAGACATCTCAACACGGCCTATTGCTTCTGAAATAACAATAAGTATGACTTAACCTGCGTTTTTCATACTCACCGTTCCAGATTTGGACATCTTCTTCGGAGAACCAATGTGGTGTGTGGTCAATGTGCTGCAGGAGGGCGCCGTGGTGGACGAGGTGGAGCGCGTGCGACTGCAGCTGGAACAGCAACACCAAATCGACACTCTCATGCAATCCTTCACGAACATGACACAATGAATCGATACATTGGTCATTGTACTGTAAGACGTACTCTGTGTAGGGTAGTAGATGTGCGGGTGCGGCTGGAGTTCCGGCAAGGGTTTTTTTCCCGCCAGCTTAGTATAGCCTACCAGGGTACGAGGTGATGACGAGGCAATGAGCGGACGTACCATTAATTGTATATAGTACACTCGATCACCCACCCACACTCCGACACGCGCACCTCGTATGCTACGTATATACCCTCTCTCCACATGACACGCACGCGCACACACCTCGCGTGATACACCCAAATATACACACAAACACATGGCGCACAACTTCAAGTAAGGGCTGCAGAACGGATATGTGCTCGATTTTTGTATTGCAGTGTCCACGTACGGTCCAAATATTGGCTCGGCCGAGAATGTACAGTTCACTCTATAAGCTCACCTCCACGTGAAGGTGTCTAGTGATGATTGTCTGCCCTCCTCTGTACAGGCATATCGGCAGATGTAAAAAGTTGATGGTTTTGGGTATTCACAGGCTATAGTTAAATATTCTACCAGGTGTTGTCTGGAGCGCATCATCGGTGTCTACGTGTACAAACTGGCAACTGGCACTTCAAGCTATGTTCATGCAGATACCTGCTTACCTAAATTTCTTCGAAGGGTATGGACATGCCCCTCATATACAGTTATAAGGTTATTTATTTTCAGGAATGGCACCAGATGGACGTCTTATGTTCCCATATCTGGGGTACATGGTCAGCGAAACGAGAGCAATCCCAGCTACAGCAATGCTAACGGTGTTTTGCGCGTATTGCATATTTTGTATCAATCGCAATGCTCATGCGAGAGCAGCCACACGGAAGCCGCATAGGCCTGGCGAGCCAATGCACTACTATCTAATTCAGTAGGCAAATGGCAACACCAGAGCAATAGGCTGACAAGCAGCTGACTATTTAATAAAGGCACGCTCAGATCGCCGACCCAAGCTGCATTGTTGATACTAGTGTTTATAATCGTCAAATGGGCGGGCCCTTTTCTTATGGCTATTTTCCGAGTTACACTTACCTATAGTTCTTTTTAGAACCAGACAATCGGTAAAACGGTATATGGTAAATGAAAGAGATGCGTGTATGGTAATAAAGGGGGGCTTAAGGCTGAGATGCGAGTGGACAGGTACGGGGATGCCGAATTTTCATATCTTCTAGATAGCATATTAACCCAATGGTCCCAAGCTCCATGTCTTCCATTCAAATCCTCCTAGCAAACAGCCAGTTGTGAACAGGTAGAAATATACAAAATACGATTAAGTCAGTCGTTTTCCAATTTTACCCATCCCCAGATAACATACACAAACACACAGACTGCACAAACACCAATACAATATGATATACAAATCATAGCTGCGGTTTGAACGAAGATCACAAAGATTCATTGGTCACGGCGCCTCGATCATTTATAGTTGGGAAATATTAAGCAGTCTTTATTCAATATAAGCGAGAATGGTCGATCTCAAACTTTGTGTGGCCGTATCCAGGGCAGATACAAACGCTGCGCTTTGCCAAATAATCGTCCAAGATACAGACACTAGGAGTGTACCTAGGTTGTATTTCAGGGAACTATCTACGCCAGGTTGAGGTTGAGCTATAGTGCCATATGCTACCGCGAAAATTCTCTTGCATTCACATCTCCACAGCTCACCCGGAACCGCCATACAGACTGCAATAGCATAGAACGAGACCATTCGTGTACAGGTGCTTGGAATGATCGGTCGCCTGTCTTGCGCATGCATGACAGCCTCGTGTAAATATGTATCTGAAGTAGCAGATTGTGATGTCGAATGCTTCCCACAGCGCTCATTCTACGGCATAAAAAAAGAACGAACTTGTCGAGCCGAGAGCTGGCATACCTTGCCGCACATTAGATTTGTTTCCACTATATTTGTCCTATATACACTTCGCATTATTCATTGCGAGAGTTGATGCCGTGTAAGTTTACACGCCCCCCGCCACTTCCTGCACACCACCGTGGAGGTGCTCAAGTTTACATTGGACGTTCGCTATGACCGGCAGATGTTCTTCTATCCAGGGTGATGAAGCAATCCATATATCGATCATTGATACAAGCTGTTCAGATAGGGATTCTCTATAGCCAATGCGATTTTACGACTATGAAATTCTAGGTGAAGGAAGCGCGTCCGGGCGGAGTAAAGACGATGAAATCTCTCGGATTGGGTGGTTGACGTGTCAAATCGTGCCTTGTAGTTCCTCTAATTCAGCCACACACTCCATCGATGGGCCGGAGTTGTGCACTCATATTCGTAGTCACATGATCAGCATAGGGAAGGGCTACTATCAAACTTTTAGAAGCAGTGCTTCAATACATCTACCAAAAGCCAGATCCATCCTCCCCGAACCCAGACCGAGGCGCACACATTGGGAAAACGAGGGCTGCAACTTTTTCTCTCAAATGCCAATGACACCGGAAGCTATCCTTCCGATATCCGTCCGAAGTTCGATATCCGTGCTATTGATGCTCGGGTGTAATAAAGTCGTTGCAATGGTGATAACAAACTATTGAAGCGACCAATCTATAGCGGCAACATCGTTCTGGCGACAGAATTTGCGGAGCGCATTGAGAGTTTGACCATGATCCATAGACCCGTAGTTCCCCCAGGGATACTGCCAACCAAGTACCTACGAGAGAAGAAAATGCAAAATGCAAGATCAGCCATAGCATTCTCAATGACTACGAATTAGACCACCACACGTACAGACAAGGCGTGTTTAAATCGAAGGGAATTTCCGCAGTATAATGTGTGCGTAGGAATGATGACGCAGAAGCCAATGAGGCAAAAATAAGACAAATGACAGAAACCCCAAGAAAAAGGGGTGCCTTACACCGCTGATAATAAGCGAATGCAAATAAGCACAAGACGACATTAAACACACCACTGAATAACTGTACAACAAACAACGAGTGCACAATCACATCCATCCACAGACAGGGCTTGATCCAAAGTGCCCGTGTAAATACTATTGAACAATATTCTAGTCAAAATTGGCACCCAGAACCCTTCAGTCTCTTCCGAAAAATTTGAAACAAGTACTTCTTTTACCGAAATGTCGAACCAACTTTCAATACACATGGATCAACATACACACACACAAAAGCTCAGGCACTATATCATATTTAGTAACACTACATTGCCACTGTTCTTCATCGAAGGAAAGAACAGCAGTTTCTGTTCAAGAGACGTATTTACAACCTGTCGTAGCTGCCAAGCCACACCAGCGAACCCAATGCGCAGCATATACGAGGAGTATATCATACCCTACCGAGCTATCATTTCAACAACACTGAGAAGATAGCCTTGTACACTACATCATCAGCTATGCCGTGAGGGGTTCCTAGATACATTCAAGTGGCAGTGAGGCAGCGATAAAGAACATACCACACGAGACTGCCAACCTGGCCGCCCATGCACAGCACAGTAAGGATGCTCTCTTTGTTGAGTGCAAAGTAGACCGTTCCAGCCAGCATTCCGAAGAAGCTCACGGTGAACGCCAGTCGGTCTGGAGATATCAGAGACTTGAAATGGGCCATAGGACCCATCAGCATGGATACACTGCAGTATGTATGTGTGCGTGCGCGAAAGGTTAGCTAGATGCGAAATTTGTATTTGATATCACCCGTCTCATTAATACTGGTATTCCGAGATGAATCAGTACTAACTTCTACTGTGTGTGTGCTTACTTCGATAGCATCTCTCAATAGTACTGACTTACTTAGACTCGAAGAGTATCGGAATATAATGATTTTACGCGATTCCTCCAAAAAGGCCAAAATACAATACTAATGCAAGGTATGATGCGAATACAATAGCTCTAGCCATATTGCCCATTCACCCGTTACCATACCTGAAAATACCACACAGACTGCCTAAACTGTGCAAGAGGGCAAATTTTCGGGGCCTCAGGAAGAACATCCCAGGAACCATAAACAGAGCCACCTCCTGGAATAATAGAAAGAGCAGAGGATAGTAAATTTACTGGGATGTATGCAACACATTCGTGACCACGGACTTTAAATACACATAATATTTGACAGCAATTGGTAGTACATTTTGATTGTCTACATAGATACATGGCAACCAATACGTTAATATGCATGGTGGTGGGTTGATTCGATTTGGACCGCATTCAACCCGAATTCAGACCATACCAGTGCAAAGAAAATCATCGCGCCAAGCAACAGCATCAGAAACCCGGCAACGCGTTGCTGTCGTGACATCCCACCGATAAGCGACTCATCCTTGCTCGACATACTCATCGACGACCAGATGCTCGATTCAACCTCCTGTTCCGCCCTGAAGGATCAAACATCGGTTATAAATAAGGATAAGCTTATCTAGGTATACAATGGGATATAAGAGGAACGCATGGGAAAAATACCACAGAGCCAGGGGAGTGGACATACTTAAATCACATATGCGTATCTGTGTGTATATACTTACATAAAGTGCACACGCACATGTGTATAGTGTAAAAAGTGCAATGTGGAAAGCAGCATACCATATCTTTGCGCACGCAAAATTTGTTGATACACAAAATATACGAAGGAATACTGATGATCGATATGACAGTAACATATATCCAGGAGTATACACAGTTGAAAAAAAAATTGTGGAATAAGAGCACATAAATGTCAGTGATTGCTGTTCGATGCTAACGCGTATAGTATAATATAACTAGAGTATGGCTATATGTACATATGCACAGAAAATAGAGTAGTTTTTGCATACTTGATTGACATGGTGCATATTAACGAACGCTGGCAGAATTTATTTGTGGGGAAGACAGAAGTCACAACTCTCGGCGTATGTGGAACAACGACGAGACAAATGAATTGACAATGACTGTCAGCACTTAGTATAAACTTATGAACTTTTAATACCAAGCACTCTTATTGTTGCTTTGCAATCAACATCCGCCCAAACAAATCTGCGTATAAATATATTATGGCGATCCAAGAAGAAGAAAATTTTCTTAGAAAGGTAAAATTATATTTATGCGCAAGTGTGTAAAAAGCACACACTAAGAAAATTTTCTCCCAAAATCTACCAATTCCAGAGTTGATTTTTCCACATCACTTCTACAACACAGACCACACGAATATACCTCGAGTAGTGATAAACTTAACGTGAAACAGACTTTAAAGCCACAGATCCTTGGAAAGTTGTAGACTTCATAGCTCGAAAGCTGACGGAAACAGAAAAGAAAACGAACAATGAAACAACATGGTGTGCCTTTGTCGATGTTAAGAACGCATACACCTAATACAGGCAGTTAAAATTGACAAAAAAAATACAAATGTACAAACAGTCAGACACAAACACTCAATATATATA